TCCTGTCAACTCGCCTCCAGCCTCGAAAAGGTCCATCACCGTGAGGTTGGGGATCAACGGGGACGCGAAAGCAATCAGGAACATGAGCTGCTCCTGAGTGGGCAATATTGACAGCATGCAGATGAAGAATGTCAGGAAAGTGGGGGATGTGAATCAACAAACCAGGAAATTAGAACCCATTAAATTCCTGAAGCCAAAAGTAAGTGGTGAACTGCCAAAACAATCACAATCAGTGGGTTTCCATTGTTGTATGGGTAAGCTTCCAAAATCGAGGGAATGCGAATCGATGGGTCTGGGAACCGGCAACCTAAAAACGCCCAATGAAGGCACAAACCCTTCCATTGTTACAGTGCCTGGTAGCTGTTGCTTCCACAAGTGACAACACTGTTTGAGGATCACCCACTCTACTGTACCTTGCTACTCCTCTTATAATATTCCTGTGTTTCAAGTTTCAACATCACCATCTTTAGTCATGTATGTGTGTGTGTATGGGTCACCTGAGGTTTTGACTAGACGTTCCATCATATAGTGCATACCTGAAGGATTACAGAAAATATGGCCTCAATTATGCATTGAATCAAGCTACTGGTTTGAGGTCATCAAGCCGAACCAGATCTTTCAAGTTCATATGCTTGGGCTTCAGGCCACACTGCAACTGAAGGTCGTCAAGGAAATTGACACTCTCAGACCCTGTCGAGTCATCACTACTAGAAGAAGACTTTTTCTTCTTCTTCTTGTCTTTCTTTCTGTCTTTCTTCGTCTTCTTTGGGTCGTTTTCTTGCAGGATCTTCTGGGCCATGGAGACCTGGAGGCCAAGTGCACCCCATATTGATCTATCTTGAAAACAACATCCATCCATATTCACCCCATAAATACCTTGCAACCTACCAACTTTGAACCTTGCTACTTTCTGCTTGGAGGTGAAAAGGAAACCCCAACGAGTAAATGTAAACTTTTCAAAACTACAGGTGAGGTAAAATGTTGTAGTAATGTATTTTTATCACGTAATAGTGGATGCCTATGTGTCCCAAAAAGCAAACCGAATTGTCAATGAGTGACCGGCCTTCATCGCATGAACGGAGTTGTCCAAAGCACTTTCCATGGTAGAGGCTGAAGATGGTGGGGCGGTGGTGCTAGACGCTGCGCCCTTTGGCTTGGACTCTTTGGCAGGGTTTTTAGTAGGGCCAACCATCCCCACCAACTAATTATCCTTTGGCACACTCCGAGCCAAAAACCCCCTGAGATGTCCAATTGAATCTGTTTTTCCAAGAGTTTGAAAATTGTGCTGCTTTGCTTTGAACAGATATACCAATTTACCCCAAACCTTTCAACCTACCAACTTCGCACCTTGCTACACACAACTGCACAACAAATGCAGGATGCTCCAACATCGTCAACAGAAAACACAATCCAACGAGTACATGTAATCTTTTCAAAAACTACAGTGGGGGGAATGTCGTAGTAAATTGTTTTCTGTCACGAATGATAGATATCTATGTGCCCCCAAAAGAGCTGACCCAATTGTCAATATGATTGAATTTGGCTTGGACTCTTCCAACTTTTTAGGATCAATTATGCCCACCAACTCATGAGCGGCATGCTGCGCTGACCACTGGTGATGCTAACACACAAAAAGTATGTGAAACACCTTCCATGTATTTTAAAGGTAGCCTTGGTCTTGTTGGTTTCACCCCAACGGGTCACTGTTGGGCCCGTGGTGAGGGAGCTGTGCAGACACTCCGGCTGGGCGAGACACGCCTGATACAGTAAATTCACTGCCTTCAAACTTGCCAATCCAACCCACAAGACAGTACAATAGCGAGCACAAAAATTGCATTCCTTTCGAGCAGGAGACACAACGATAATCTTGGGCTCATTGGATTTGAAGGCTTTTAATTGATTCAGGGGAGGAAGAATCAATGTAAATCAGTGAAAGAGCACGGAGACACTTGTTTCAACATAGAACCTTTCAGACCAAAGACCACTCCAACCCCCACTTTCCCAGCAAAACGGTAGGCTCTTAGGTTCACAGGTAGAGCGCCACTCATTGCATAGCGGTGTCACCTAGGGTTTCAAGAGGTCAGCAAACAAACTGGTGTGCTTCCATAGTACTGGTCCAGTCTTGGGATGGAAAGATGACACAAAATAACAGACGGAATGCACAAAAATTGTTTCCACCTCAATTTGAAGACCTCCTGGGAGCTAAGGTGAGACTATACTACTGACACATTCTTTCAAGTCTAAAACAAGTGAAACCCAAGATCAGTTCAACATAAAATCTTTCTGTGATTCTTATTCTCAAGACTTTAGACGTGTATTTCGGCTTCAAGTCCTGATTTTGAGTATATGTCAGTTTCCAGCATGTGCTCGCTTCCCTTGCCAAGGCACTGTAACACTGCTAAACTCAAAAGATATTGCTGGTCCCATTGACCATAGCTCCTGCGAGGCAGCAAAACTATGATGCAAGTAGCTACACAGTGCAATGAAAACAGCACACGTATAATTACTAGAGATGGACCACTGACAGTCTTACGTCTCTTTCAAAATGCCATCTGACTTTCCCATGAAGTTGCCATCTCGAATTACCTCAGGAACAAGGCTCGTGAAAAAGGATCAGCCTCCTCCAGCTCATAGACAAATCCGGCTGTGATGTCGCTCCACAAATCCTAGTGCAGGAGTGAGGTGGCCCACCACTGGCAGGCTGCATGTTTTTCAATTCTGGGTGGTGTCACTACGCGGTTTTCTCAAGACAACAAATCTGGCAGCTTTACAGCATCGAAATTCATAGGAAAATGCAATCAAGTATTTTTTTGTGTGATTCGATTAAGCGATACGTTATCAAATGGGCCCACTTGCGCACATACCCCGCATTGCCAAGCATCTTTTAGTCCGTGGTTCCTTCGTCCACATCTTCGATTGGTCGCTTGCGGGCCTGGTGCGCAAGATCATCGGTGGAAACACACTAAGCCATACACAACTCTGTTCCTTGCCTTTACATTACACAAGAGCAAGAACGGATGCTTAAGTAGAGAATTGAAAGCTATTTGACCACCAATCTAGAAATTAAGCATAGATCAAGCAGCCATCAAATTGTGCCATCCTGGAGAAACCCAGATGCTCCAAATTTAATGACAAAAAGGAAGGCAACAGAATCATTCAGGGTCCCCAACCTGCGTCAGAAAGCGACTCACAAAAGCACTAACAGGCCCCATAGTAGATGATGAACTCGATGCAGATGATGAACTCGATGCAGATGCCGCGGACGTAGAGGAAGCAGGCGCAGCTGCTGCCTTCGGCTGCAGAAACAACGGCAGCAATGATTGACCGGCATAGTCTGACATTCCTCTTTAGGGGTGCAATAAACAAACAAAAAACTTGTCATTAGAGCGTGGCGCCAACAGCAGATATAGACAATACATTGAAATAATCAAACCACCAATGACTTCAGACCACCAGCTCAATCCAACAAAAGAGATACAGCACATTAAATTATAAATCAAGTGTACGCTCTTGTGTGATTCCAAAATGGGCCAGAAAATATATTGTTAATATTCAGAGACTCGAATCAGTAGCTACGAAATAACGAAAATATTACCTTCCTTCGTGTAATCACCACAGTGGCAAATATCCTGGCATATATTGTTATATATTATTTGCAATTCTCTGACACCTTCTCTGACATTCTATCTGACATTTTCCCTGGCATCATACCTGACATTCAATCGGACGTATATCCTGACATTTTTCCATTCTATCTGGCATTCCTTTCTGACATATATCTTGGCATGCTATCCGACATACAATCTGACGTTTCAACGGGCATCTGGCATATATGTTGTCAGTTTAAGTGGCATTCTATCTGACATATATATATATGTGGCAGTCTATCTGACTTTCTATCCAACCAATATTCTGTCATTCTATCCGACATAGAAATTGTAGCATTCTATCTGGCAGTCTATCTGACATCTATTTTGGCATTCTATCTGCCAGTCTATCACTGGACATAGTTTCCGACTTTTGTCTGGCATTTGATGTGACATTTTCTATCTGATAGTCTCTTTGGCATTCTATCTGAAATTCTCTGTGGAATTCTATCTGACATTCTTTCTGGCATGTGCAGAGAGTTCGGGTCCGTGCCTGACTTAGCAAATCCAGTGGGCGTGCCCAGGCTGCCGTGGAGCTCGCAAGAACGTGCCCAGTTGGAGCACTTGCGGGTAGATGCGGATAGATGCGGGTAGAAGCCGAGAATAATGCAAGAAGAAGGACAAGGAGGAGGACGCCAGGAAGGAAGGCAGGTAGGGAGGGAAGGAATGGAAGGAATGGAAGGAATGGAAGGAATGGAAGGAAGGAATGGAAGGAATGGAAGGAATGGAAGGAATGGAAGGAATGGAAGGAATGGAAGGAATGGAAGGAATGGAAGGAATGGAAGGAATGGAAGGAATGGAAGGGATGGAAGGAATGGAAGGAATGGAAGGAATGGAAGGAAGGAAGGAAGGAGTGGAAGGGAATGGACGGAATGGAAGGAAGGAAGGAAGGAAGGAAGGAGTGGAAGGGAATGGAAGGAATGGAAGGAATGGAAGGAATGGAAGGAATGGAAGGAATGGAGGGAAGGGATGGAAGGGAAGGGATGGAAGGGAAGGAAGGAAGGAAGCAGGAAGGGATCTAAAGACCCTCTCACCTTTCAGGTGGGAAAGCATCAAAACCACAGACCCACCAGCTTCAAACAATATTGTCATTGCAAACCCAACCTTGGCTGTGGGAGTTGGAAGTTGCCCAGCAGTACCACCGAATGTGGCAATGGAACTTCTCCTCCACCCAGGATCAGCTTCATAGGGGCGCAACCGCTCTGCGCCATCCTGGCGAATTTTGTGGTGCCTCACTGAAAAACATTATATAATGATTGTAATGCTCCCGATTTAGGTATCACCATTAATATCCAAAATGTTTGTTGAAGTCAATGCATGTAATTGTTGTTGGCAATGACGTATGATATCGTTTCAGGGGGAAGGTAGAAACAAAGCATCCATAACTATGTATTTCCAAATAACTAACAGTATATGATTATGTATATATATATATATACATACATACATATAGAAAGCACACATATGAATATATAACGCATCACTGTATGTCTGCACATGTTTAATGCATCTCCAGTCCGGAAGTGCCACTTCGCCCTCGGGTGGCAGATTCCCAACCATGTCATCAGCGAAGGCATGCAGGTCGTGCATAACTTCTGGAGACAGAACCAGATTGCAATTGTTCGCCTCAGATGGAGGGTTCCCCCAGTCCCAAAAACAGAAACGAGCTGAAACTTTACAAGTTAAGTTTCATGAGCCTAGATATCTATACATCAGGTCATTTCTCCAGGAAAGAAATTGTTCAACAAGACTGACTAATACCAGGTTTGCCCAAGCCCTTTTGACAATGCTGTCTAGGGACCAAGTAGGCTTGATGTGCTTTCCACAAAGCCGCGCCAAAAGCCCGAGGATATGCACTGGAGCTTGCCAATCTCGATTTGTTGCCAGTTACCCACCTGAACATGGACTGAACAAGACACATTTGGATATTGCATTAATATTCTCCCCAGGAGGAAGTTAGCACGTTAAGGGGGCCAAGAGCAAGAATCTAACTGACAAGATGTGTTTTAGTCGCAGCACTGCTGTTGGAGGCTGATTGCAGCCAAATTAGCTTGAAGAACCTTGGGCATTGGGTGAGTTACCTTTATTTTCATCAACTAAAAATGCGAACCACCTAGAAAAACAGAAGCATCAGCTTAAAACCACGCGGATAAGATTTAATTGTTCACAACCTGCCAACCGAGGGTCTCTAGATTCTAACAGAGGCATCCCACAAATACACGCGCACACACACACACACCGAGCCAACCACCCATCCACCCACTCACCCTCCCACCCACCCACCCAGCCTGTGACGTTCCGAGCAAATCAAACCATTGCAAATAGAAAGCTCTCAAGAGAATGTCAGATAGATTATATATCAGAAGAAATTCTACAAAGAATGCCAGAAGCAAAATATCAGATAGAAGACCAGATAAAATGCCAGACAAAGTGCTAGGAGTGCCAATGAAATTTCAGAAAGAATGACAAATAGAATGCCATATTATATATGTCCACCCACCACCCACCTGGACGCAAACTGCCAGACAGAAAGCAAGAAAGAATGTCCAAAACCAAGCTAGATAGAATTCCAGACTATGCCAGGTCAAGGCCAGGAACACTGTCAGATAGGATGCCAGATATGATATATGTCAAAATCAATGCCGATAGAATGTCAGAATATATGTATTCCAGAAAGAATTTCAGATAGACTATATGTCAAACTTTCCGATACAATGTCAAAATACTTGTCAGATAGAATGTCAGAACAAATTCCAGATATAATGTCAGATACAATGCCAAAATGCGTGCCAGAGGGATGCCAAAATGTGTGCCCGAAGTGAAGGAATTGGCCTATCGATGTGTTGTCCATCATACTTTTAGATTTGGATGGTTTGCAAGCGATATCCCAAGTCTCAACACTGAGTGTTTTAAAAAACAATGCTAGATAGAGTACAAGCTCAAATCCCCATCAACCTGACCAAAACATCGAGACGCTTGCTTCCGCGATCCATGATTGGAGCGGTGCGACGGCCCCTGATAGGACCCCAAGCACGGCGGTGGATTTCCTGCAAATATACGAAGCCACCCCACCTTCCTCGCAGCTCAAGGGGCTTACCGGAAGCTGCACCGAAAGTCCGCAACCACACAATGGTCCTCGTAATTTGACCATTGGGCACAGTGTCCAGGAGAGCTTGTAGGACAGCGTCGATGGAGGGATACACAAAGAAAAGTGAATTCATCTTAGTGGCACATGGATTCCCAGCCCACAGGTTTTTGAAAAAGGTCGGCAATATGTTTTCTGGATAAATAGTAGTCAGGGTGAGTGTGGATATGCCCTCTATTTCAGGCTTTTGCTTATATCCCTCTCTTATATATCTTTACATCGAAATATAAACATATAGGGTATATATGAATAAGTATTTGTGTTTTATTGGTCTCAATTCAGTATATACATATATCTATTGGGTCAAATATATTACATATGTTTGTAGATTTAGACACATTCTTGCGATAAAACGATAAATATATTTGATGTATACGATATCTCTACATGTTTGTTCCATATATATATATGTAAATATTAAATATTGTAAGAAATGAGCTAATATACATACATATATAGATATCAATCTTGCTTACAACATTTGCTAAACACTGCAAACTACAAATCATATTCATGATGAAATACATGGTTGATTCAAAAATATTGTCTTTAGGTACTTATATATAAATTATATATGATGTAGAAAAGCTGATTAACCACATCATATAAACAAAATAATCTTTTGAGGGGAAGACCTCCTGAAAACAGCTATCTGCCAAGTGACGGGGTTTTCACAGACCCAATACAGCCCCAGCCAGTCGCATAAAGGTACTAAGACCGTGGCAACCAGCTCAGCTGTTGCATTGCCTGTAGCCACAAATTCCATGCTCTCGTCGCCATACAAGTTTTCCTGGTTCAGGGATTCCAGGCAAGTTGTCGTGAAACACTTGCCCACACCGAAAACCAAACTGCCCACCCTTTCTCGGTCCAATGTTGAAAACTTCCAAGGCTAAAACTTCCCAGTCCAGAAGACAAATGGTTTGGACATGTTTGGACACAACCTGTCCAGCGTTCGCTTGCTTGTATGGGTGCTCACAAACCGTAGAAAGCTGCTGCAGGTCGGCTGGCACAGCGCAAGTCCATGGTGCTTGGTACGTGCACATGCATCACCAAGAATTTGTAATCCCGCCTTCTCATGGCAGTTGTGACGAGGGTCACGACGAACGTCGAACACAAACCCAGAGCCAGCAGCTTGCGATAAGGAACCAACCCCACCGAAGATGTCGATCACACTGTAGTCGAAGTCCCTCTTTCGGCGACCTAATTAGGTCCAAGGTCACAAGTGAAAATCAGAAATCTAAGATTTTCCAGTTGTGAAACCTCAGCACCAGGACATACCAATCAAAAATAAACACAAATTAAGTACCAGATAGTACCAGGAACTCTCTTCATCAGCCAGCACTGGGTAAAGCCCAATCAGCCATGTCTGAAGCTCAAGGAAAGTCATTGCCGGAGGGCGGACCATATCTCCAAACTTGTCACACTGATAGAGCCAGCTAAAATTGCTATGGGGACGATGCATCTTGAGAAAACAACTTTTCAATGGGGATCCTTGAGACAGACACTTGACCTGAGACAGACCACAAACGAGAAAGTACCTTGGCGCAGACCTACGAGTGCTTTCCCTGGGCTATAACCAATTGAGTTTGGGAAATGTTTTCCTTCAAAAATGCACTGGGGGCACAGTCATTTTCGTAGAGACCAAGGCATGACCTTGGCACCGATGGGGAAAAAATCTGAGATTCTGTGAGTTTTTTTTTTATAAAAAACATTTTAACAAGGTCAACTTGAAAGAAATAAGTGAACCACAAAACATTGATCATACAACACAATCTGGCCTACATACTTTTTGGCTTGTTTTGGCTATGGTGTTTGGTGAAATGAATTTTGTTATATGATGTTGTATGTTGTCCCACTTTCTCAAAAAAGTTTTCCTTCAATGCCGGTGCTACCAGGGTTGATTTCAATATCCATCCTCATGGAAACCCCAGGCACAGTTGGAAAAAAATTGGGACCCTGCTTTTACTTTTTGAAGCCCAGTAAAAAACGAGCATTTTAGATCAATGTTTGTAACCTGTGCTTTCCCTGGGCTATAACCAATTGAGTTTGGGAAATGTTTTCCTTCAAAAATGCACTGGGGGCACAGTCATTTTCATAGAGACCAAGGCATGACCTTGGCACCGATGGGGAACAATATGAAATTCTGTGATTTTTTTTTATAAAAAACATTTTAACAAGGTCAACTTGAAAGAAATAAGTGAACCACAAAACATTGATCATACAACACAATCTAGCCTACATACTTTTTGGCTTGTTTTGGCTATGGTGTTTGGTGAAATGAATTTTGTTATATGATGTTGTATGTTGCCCCACTTTCTCAAAAAAGTTTTCCTTCAATGCAGGTGCTACCAGGGCTGATTTCAATATCCATCCTCATGGAAACCCCAGGCACAGTTGGAAAAAAATTGGGACCCTGCTTTTACTTTTTGAAGCCCAGTAAAAAACGAGCATTTTAGATCAATGTTTGTAACCTGTGCTTTCCCTGGGCTATAACCAATTGAGTTTGGGAAATGTTTTCCTTCAAAAATGCACTGGGGGCACAGTCATTTTCATAGAGACCAAGGCATGACCTTGGCACCGATGGGAAAAAAAACTAAAATTCTGTGAGTTTTTTTTTATAAAAAACATTTTAACAAGGTCAACTTGAAAGAAATAAGTGAACCACAAACATTGATCATACAACACAATCTGGCCTACATACTTTTTGGCTTGTTTTGGCTATGGTGTTTGGTGAAATGAATTTTGTTACATGATGTTGTATGTTGTCCCACTTTCTCAAAAAAGTTTTCCTTCAATGCAGGTGCTACCAGGGTTGATTTCAATATCCATCCTCATGGAAACCCCAGGCACAGTTGGAAAAAAATTGGGACCCTGCTTTTACTTTTTGAAGCCCAGAAAAAAAAAGCTTTTAGATCAATGTTTGTAACCTGTGCTTTCCCTGGGCTATAACCAATTGAGTTTGGGAAATGTTTTCCTTCAAAAATGCACTGGGGGCACAGTCATTTTCATAGAGACCAAGGCATGACCTTGGCACCGATGGGAAAAAAAACTAAAATTCTGTGAGTTTTTTTAATAAAAAACGTTTTAACAAGGTCAACTTGAAAGAAATAAGTGAACCACAAACATTGATCATACAACACAATCTGGCCTACATACTTTTTGGCTTGTTTTGGCTATGGTGTTTGGTGAAATGAATTTTGTTTTATGATGTTGTATGTTGTCCCACTTTCTCAAAAAAGTTTTCCTTCAATGCAGGTGCTACCAGGGTTGATTTCAATATCCATCCTCATGGAAACCCCAGGCACAGTTGGAAAAAATTGGGACCCTGCTTTTACTCTTTGAAGCCCAGTAAAAAACGAGCATTTTAGATCAATGGTTGTAACCTGTGCTTTCCCTGGGCTATAACCAATTGAGTTTGGGAAATGTTTTCCTTCAAAAATGCACTGGGTGCACAGTCATTTTCACAGAGACCAAGGCATGACCTTGGCACCGATGGGAAAAAAATTCTGAAACTCTGTGAGTTTTTTTTAATAAAAAAACATTTTAACAAGGTCAACTTGAAAGAAATAAGTGAACCACAAACATTGATCATACAACACAATCTGGCCTACATACTTTTTGGCTTGTTTTGGCTATGGTGTTTGGTGAAATGAATTTTGTTATATGATGTTGTATGTTGTCCCACTTTCTCAAAAAAGTTTTCCTTCAATGCAGGTGCTACCAGGGTTGATTTCAATATCCATCCTCAAGGAAAAAGTATCATAATTATTATGAACTCATGAATTCACAAATTTTATCCTGTACCCTGAGGTAACCAAGTGGCAAAACATAATAAACAACATGTTCAATTTTTTTCCTATCCTCCAACACTCCCCCCCTCAGGGTTTCTTTTGGTTGATTCTTAAAATAAAATCCACATCTCTCATCCCTCTTGTATATACTAGTAGTTTTCTTTCTATAATTAAGATGATCAAATCAACCTAATTTTTTTCCAAATCCTCTACCGTCATGATACTTACAGAAATAATCAAAAAAATTAATTTCAAAAATGTTTTGGGAGGGCAAACCTACAGGAAAACATTTGCATAGTACCAACGGGGATCCTTTAGCTCAGCTACGCTTAGGCTTATGTTCCTCTTCGACGGAGTTTTGGTTTGGTTGCCAGCCAGCCAGCCAGCCAGCCACCCAGAGCCAGCCAGCTTAGGGATAATGATGAGACTCTGTGCGCGTGGAGAAGATTCGCCAACACTGTCAGGTCCATTATAACTAGTGAGGCCAATGCAATCCCAAACGATCCCAAAAAAAACATTCATAATCCTGATTTTTTAGGGGTATGATTCGCAGATTTCGGGGGTATGATTCGGGGGTATGATTCGGGGTATGATTCGGGGGTATGATTCGCGCAAATCGAACTTCCCGCCTTTACTAAAAACTGCACGCATCAAAAAAAGACAGGCCCATGTATAGCTATGAACACTTACCATGAACATTTACCATATAAATAGACCATTATAGAATAGGGATATCATACGATATTTTTGGGGATAGAAAGACTAATTAATGATGACGAATAGGGACATCATAGGATATCTCTGGATAAGAAATAATATGTATATGTATAGGTATGCTGTATGTATATATTTACTATCCATGGGATAAATGATGGATATCTATGAATGAATATCATGGGGATATAACTTAACTTCATGGGATCTAACTAATCATTCATTTATCATTACAACACGGATATCATGGATATCATCCAAATAAAATGACATATAAAGCTTACACGTCCAACTTAATGGTAAACGAAAATCGTCCTTGGGATGTAATGGACATAATATGATAGACGTTTTGTATATGTGATGGGATTTTACCAACAGATAGGCTGAAGCCCAAAACATGGGGAGACAGCCATGGGCTTGACCCGCACCGGGAACGAGTACGACAACCACAGCGATTCCATATCGATTTCCCAATCATGGTGGATTCACCGGAACATCCCGAAAAAAGATCACCATCACCGGGTAGATCCCCAAAAGCATCAAGTTTTTCTCCATCGAAAAAGGCGCGAAAAAACGTCGCGCATCATTTTTGGATCATCCCTGCAGATCCCTGCAGATCCCATGGCGGCAGCCATGAGACTTGAGCTTCCTCTTTGCTCATGCCGCTGGCTAAGGCCTTGCTCGGTCGCGGCGAGTGGAGCTTTTTTAACGGTTGGGCCTTGCTGGCCTTGCTGGTCATTGTTTATACCCAAACCTATCAACCACTGGCAGTTGAGGCATCTGCAGTTCTTGGCTATTTTAATCGTCAATATTAAGACTATTACTTACCTCAAGTAGTATCTATTCCCAAGGAGTATTTAGTCAAAGTGATGATTTGCAAACAGTATTTATGGCCATCATGTATCTGGAAGGTTTCGCCCTCTGAAAAAGATGACTGAATTGGGGATCATCATTCCACCTATGAAGAAATACAACAAGTTGAAGCCGCCAACCACAGGATATCTGTCCTGCATGCCGGATGCCGGTGAAACCGTTCCTCTGAAAACAAAAAAATGTGTCGGAATCAACCAAATACAACACCATATCTTTCTCAAGATATGTAATTTTGCAATTTGTTTCGTAACTTACAGAGGAAAACTCTTCGATTCAATCGACGGATGAACGACCCAGAAGTTCCCACAAGCACTCAATGAATCCCAATGTTTGATTCTAATGGTGTGTTGAATAACAATCATTTTGATTTAACAGAAAATCATCAGTTAATGTTAAATCATTTTAATCATCAGTTAATTGATACCAAAATTTTGATTTTAACAGAAAATCATCAGTTAATTGATACCGGTCTGGTCTTTTTGATGCAAAAAATGTCGCATCATAGATCCGTTCGGAACCTCTGATTCCCTACGAACACCAAAACCAGTAGGTGATGTACAAGTTGCTGGTCTATTTTACACGTTGCCCCATGATTGCTGGTGAACTTTCTAGTCATTTGGCCAATCAAAAACTTACAAACAACACAGTGCAAACAACCACAGACTTTGGTTGGTTAAATCCACGCTTTGCTGGTGTTTCAGTTGTTCGATGCATCGCCATTCTCGGTGATTCTGCTGGCGAAAAAACACACATTTTTGGTAGTTAACCCTCCTATGTTTGTTAGAAACAAACCGTTATTTTGGTAAAACCCACAATTCTGACAGTGAAAACCATATTTCTGGTTCTTAGCGGTCCAATCCTTGTCCCTTCGCCAAACTCACCAGGGTGCTGCTTGCATGGCTGCTTCGCCTGCGGCCCGTGCTGCCTTCAGGTCTGTTTCCTGGCAATGGGGGTGAACATGGAATTTTAATACCAACATGTGCAAAAGTTGATGTGACACTTCAGTGTTCAGGTTTTTGTGAATTGTGAATTATGTGAATTTTATCCCTAAATAATAACAGTTCATAGCCTGCACAAAGGTTAGTGTGCTAATCTTGGATGGCCTATGATACCCCGCACCAAAACACATCATGTTCTGATCGTAGAAAACCACTAGTCAGCGGAGCTCAGAACCAGGGGTTTACCCCACGATAATATTGATGTTTCAAATACACATAATAAAGGTTTAACCTCACCCAAAATGGCGGTCGAAGTCAAGACACAATTTTTTTGCCCGGTCGCAAAACACCATCCATGCGGATGGGGCTAGGATTTGAGGCGCCAATTCATTTGGCGATCTAGTCGCAAGGCGTGGGGCTTGAAGGATATGACTTACAACAAGTGGAGTTGTAACTTCCAACTTATAACCAACAAAGATGAATTCACCAACAAATCATCACGAATAGTATCACCAAACAAATCGATCTGGTAGCTGGCTTCTTGAGTTATCCCATTAGTATCCAAGCATCCAAAAAGGTACCCTCTGGTAAACTGTCACATAACTATGGAAAATAACCATTTTATAGCTAAGTAAATCAACTATTTCTATGGGCCATTTACAAGTTTGCAAACTGTTTGTTTCCCAGAGGGTATCCCCATATAATAACCCATGGATTTTCCCATAAAACCAGAAATAAAATCGCCATTTCTAGTGGTAAAAACCATGGCTTCCCCAAACCTTTGGGAATTTCACCCAGCCAAAAAACCACCCGGCTGACCCGCTCCTCGGTCATCCCGGCCGCTGCATCTGCCGCTTGGATGCCCAGGCGAGCGGCCTCCGGGGATGACGAGAATTGACGAGAGGCCCAGGGAGGCATTGGGTGAATCCCCAATTAGTTGTGAGATAAATAAACATCATCATAACAATAACAATAATTATATTAATAATAATAATCATCATCATCTTCATCATCAAAATCATCATCATCATCAACGATCTTTGCTTCTGCTCTGCATTCTTTTAAATTCTAGAAACCCGTTACTGACTGTTACAGGCATTGGGTGGCACTCAAGATAAATGACTAGATATTCCAGTCGGCCAAACCAAGGTTACCCAGCTGAAAACATCTTCATTGGCTAACCATCAATCGGCTGGTGGTTTGAACCCTTGGGAAATAACAGGGATACACTGGGCACACAACCAATTATAATCATCTAATCATCTAATATTGGGATCATGATAGATAACCAATGGTGCCGGTCGGTGGTTTCAAACACAGCATCCATTCTGTGTGCCAGCAATAATTTCAGTGTCAGCTTTGACTGGTTTTCAACTCATAGTGTCATAGACATTGAGATATCCACTAAGACACAAAGATGGGGTCTTTTCCACCATCCCCGGTGAGAAAAAATTGGGCCTCTTCTGGCTTCAGTCCAGCCGCCATGGCAGCTTGACGCGCCTAGGGGGGCACGGTTTATTCACTGATCTCCTTGTCGGAAGCAATAAAAGGGTCGGTTTGGTACCTCTTTAAATATTTTAAATGCCGTCCTGTACCCATTGTAAAACGAGGAGTTTTGCGGTTGATGACCTTTTCCAACTCACCATTGATGATCTGCAACTGGTCATCATTGTCCAGCAATTCTACAATCAAACCGGTCACTGTTATGGATCCTTGCAGCAAAGCTCGGGTGGCGGGCCGCCCCGCAGGCTCCAACTTGTGCAGCCAGTACAGAACTACGCACTTCAAATTGTCCTTTCCGGCAGCAGAATCTCCTGCCACAATCAACGGCAACGTGGAGGCAGCCACGTTCCACTCACTTTCTGTGCCTTCAAGGGGTGGGTTTTTGAGCTCACCCCGTGGACCATTCCAGAGGAAAGCGCGCTGGCCTTGGAAAGCACTGTAGAGCACGTGGCCATCCTTCGGAAAACCGTTTCCCACGGAGATGCGACTCACTGCATCAGCTATGGCAGCAGGACAGATGGAACGGATGGATGTGTCACCTTGCGCTTTGGCTGGATCAGGCGTCTTGTTTGCCATTAGGTCTGTATCTTGCCATAATGTCAATGGTCCCTCGAAAACTCAGTGGCCTTAGGCTTAAGAGGTCCTAATATTCAGCCAGGAAAATAACTGGAACGCGGATGAGTCAGGGTCAAAACAGAAGACTTCACCAGTGTCAAAACGTCATCGTCTTTTTGGCAAGGACGGTTTTGGTGGTTGAAAGAATCACCCCTACCTAAGCTAGGGGCCCCCGTCCCGTCCCCCCTAAAAATAATTTCCGAAATAATTTCCAGAAACAGACCCCCCTAAAGATTATCCAAAATCCATGAAATTATTTCAAGGTCCTTCCACCTAATTATTTTAAGGGGGGTCAACGGGCCATCTCACAAGCAAGCCCCCCCTGTTGGTTCATTGGCTGCTTCCGTTTTCAAGACTCCTCACGCCATGGTTTGTTGTGTCCTAATAATATAATCTAACCCATCAATATAGTTTTGAAATAATTTCGTATATATAAACTTCAAGTGGTGAGAAAAGAAACACCTATAAGACCTTCTCCCCTTGGGAATTCCCGCAAAATGGTGTTCAATAATTATCTTCATCATTGATTTTTCCTACATATTACATATTTCCAATTTTTCATACTTCTCCCTATTTCTCTCATATTCCCTCCATGTCCTATCAAAAAAGACAGTGGGAATGAGTGGGAAAGGGCAAGCATTCGGTTTTTATGGGTTTTTGATTTTTTTCCCAGCCTCTGCAGGGCATCTCCAATACCCCTAAAATAATTTCTCCCCTTGAAAAATTCCACGAAATAGTATTCAACCTGGCTCTTTCCTGTAGTGGTTTTCCTAACCTTTCATATTTTCCCTTATTTCGCAGTATTTCTCCCATATTCCTTTCATGTGCCTCCAAAGAACTCTCGAAGGTAAGCATTCGGTTTTTATAGGTTTTTGAGTTTTTGATTTTTTTTCCAGCATGTGGGCGAGTTGGGTCGTTCTGGCAGCTGTTTTTTGAGAAGTGCAGGGCATCTCCAATACCCCTAGATTAATTTCTCCCCTTGAGAAATCCCACAAAATAGTATTCAACCTGTCCGTTTCCTGTAGTGGTTTTCCTAACCTTTCATATTTTCCCTTATTTCGCTATATTTCGCCCATATTCCTTTCATTTGCCTCCAAAGAACGATGGTAAGCATTCGGTCTTTATATGTTTTTGATTGTTTTTGAGTTCGTTTCCAGCTTCTGGGCACGTTGGATAGTCCTGGCAGCTGCCCACTTTGATTTTTGAGGAGCGCAGGGCATCTCCAATACCCCTAAAATAATTTCTCAAAGAACGTTTTTTGGTTGCGGGTTGCAAATTTTGATGCGTTCTTGGTGCAATTTAAATTGAAGGGAGATTCTGAGATGACTAGGAGGAGCACACATGAAACATGATGTTTGAATTCATTTGTGCTTCCGGATTTGCAACGCGATGATCCTAAAAAAACAACAAGACATACCTAAAAAATAGTAAAACGCCTTTGCAAAGCCAACATTGTGCAGGATTTCCTGATATAATGTACTTTGTGAGTTTCTTCAATTCTGTTTCGGTAGGCTACGCAATGCTACGCATTCCCTTTTGTCGCTAGATTTTTTGATAGGGGTATCCTTCTGTTATTCTGAGATTTCTGATGCATATTGACGGGGCATTCTCTGAAGGCGTCCCTCATATTTCAAAACATGTTTTAAATATTGAGCTGGAGTGGAAGGGGGGGTGGAGAACACTTGTCGTTGAAGCTTGACATGTGGCACCCCCTGCAAAATAATTATGTGAAAGGGGGTCAAAACATTTTTGAAATAATATCATTCTAGGGAACCCCTGGGGAAAGACATTTTGAGGGGGGGTTAATGGAAATAATTTCCAGGTGTTCCTAGGTCAAGTCGATCAATCGAATGTATGTCAAGCCCCATTGAAATAGTTATGTTTTATTATTTTAAGGGGAGGGGGGGGTAACTAAGGTAGGGGTGATTGTGAACCAAATGGCTACTGAAGCTTCGGCAGTTTCATTGGACAATGGGCAAACATTCTTGACACCACCAAAACGGCAATGCTACGATAGGCTCAACCAAAATTATTTCGAAATAATTGTTTGGCACCTGACCCCTCGTTGGAAAATTATTTTGATGGGGTCGGACGGTCGGACCCCGTTAAAATAATTTCCAGCCCAGAAATTATTTTTGCATGGCTTGACCTATGCCAGAAGTATATGGTTTTCGCATGAATTTGATAATTATTTCTGAAAAATTATTTTGGTACGTGACCCCCACCTGAAATAATATAGCTAAGGTAGCAGTGATTTGAAAGACTTAAGGTTTTTTTCATCTCATAGGGTGATGATGATTAAGGACCCGAGCGACAAGGTATATGTTCCAGTGTATATGAAAAACCACTGGCTAGACTATTTTGCAGTTTGTACATCCGGATAATATATCTTTATAATAAATACAGTGTAAGGTGTATCTGGGATATGTACGTGTATACATATATATATATATATGGATATATTTCAGTGTATTACATGGGATGCAATATAAAAATATATAAGGTATCATTCTCCATCTCTGAGATTATTATGATAGTTTTTATCGAACGAATGGTTAGTTAGGAGGGAGCGAGTCGGAGCTACTAAAAGTTTCCCAACCAGGTGATAGTATCATATGTATATATGTATGTGAATATATACAATATTCTATCCAACTCCCCCTCTTTTGATATAATGGGTATTGAATTCTATAAAAACATTATCATGATTCATTTGGCTGTGTCTGAAATTGGGATATACCGCATACCCAAGAATCACCATGCTAAATGGGAGAATGGTGATTAACCGTCAATTTTGGGATACCCTTCCGACAAACCCATGTGGTTTAAGGGTAAATATCTTCGTAACCCGCAAAGTATGATGCCTGATTGGATTGTTCTGGTGTTTGCTTCCAACTCTTGATGGACAATATGACCATTGCCAACTTCAACATGGCTATAGAAAGTATAGACAGTGTTTGATATACCTTGGATGTATTAGGGGATACCATTTTATGGTAATCCTAACACAAGTAAAAAGGATTGGTGTCATGGCTGCTTTACAATACCGCCTCTCACACAATGTGGGGTCTGGATCAGCTACCATGCTAATCCACCGGGTTCAGGGCAACACTAAGTGATGCTAATTTAGAAGTTCAACATTGGCAGTAGACTACAATGAATTTCAGCACCCTTTTGGATGCATAGATCTCCTTGACGTACTGGTTGTATTATACCTTTTCAAACCTATATCCTATGTATTATATTCACAACACACACATATATATATATATATACCTCTATCTATATCTATATCTATCTATATATATATATATATAAATAGATACTGGTTAATATCTGATACCCCCACGTTTTTTCACCGAGCTTCTGCCTTGGACGCCGCCTCCACTGCCTTCGCGGCCCCCGCAGCGCGGGCGCCACTGGCCGCGCAGCGCCCTGCGGCCGCAGCGGCGATGGCAGCAGCATCGCTGCCGCCGGCCTGCTGTGGGGAACTATAAATAGTACAGGTTTCAGCTGTATATCATTAGATAGACATTATGTAAGACTACAGGTTATATATATATGTATACCTGAGATGATTATAAACTGTACTATTACATAGCTGTATAGCTATATAAACTATATTACAATATAGCTATTACATGTACTATTTTGTCATCATCCGGAAACATATCATGGGTGTTAGTTTGCTATGTTTGTTGGTTTGCCCCAGTTAACTAGTTCGATATATCCGCGAAAGGCGTAGATCATGTAATAATCCACTTCAAAAGGGGCTTTGGCCAACAAGACTACAGGAAGTGTCCCCTTATACAGGCAATCTGTTTGGAATAGGCAAACGATTGGATTTGTGGCAGACATATCCAGACTTAGACAAAGATTTCAAACAATTTATAACTGGCGGCGCTTCCGGTATGTATGCAATTTTTGATTTGGACACACATGGCATCCCATTTTTCAATGATTTGTGAAGTTTCATTTCTTAAAGTCTCAGCATTTTCTCATTCATGAGAGCTAGAAAAATCAATGTATCTTGGATCTGATTTACATATTTTCCACCCAGAAACCCTGTGGATTCTTGGGAATTGAGGCATATTTTTTTTCGCCTCCTTGCAGGCTTTGGCTGCCGCAGCTCCGGATCTCTTGGCCGCCTGGCAGCGATTTTTTTCGCTGGAGATTGGAATCATCTTTGAAAAACCATCTTTGAGGCCTATTCATATTCTCAATAAAGTATCCAATGATATAAGCAAAACCATCTTTGGAAAAAAAAACAGAAATGACACCATTCTGGAGTGAGATGAGTTCCAATCTCATTAAAAAAATATGTTGATGTGCGGGTTCGAATAATCCCTTCCTTGTGATTCATCGTTCCAGCCTCCAACAACCCTGATGGAATGTGGTGGATCTGTTCGTGTATAATTTTTTCAGTATCCTGCAGCAATCTAATCTGCCAATGAAAGATTCCCTATTTGCATCCAATTTTAAAAAACATCCAACCAACACTAGACATGTTCAATTGATTTGCCATCAGCCAACAGGGATCAACTGGGATTACATATACATTGTGTAAAAAAAACATACACACAGATTTCACACATGAAAATTGAACCAAAAACCATTAAATAACCCCATGATATTGGAAGTCTTTTATTGTCAGTGGGAATTTTAGGTTCTAACATGGAGGCACTATCACTATACCATATAAAGCTATATTTTGTGGGGATATTCCCTTACATAAGCCTCAGCAATAGGCTTTGAATTTGTGGTAATTACCTCCAATTTAGGTATCTGACATGGCCATTGATATGGAGGTAGGGGACCCCTAAATCATGCATTTTTTTGGTGGACTTTCTATGAACCAACTAGCTGGGGATCCCATGACTATGGAACCCCCAGTTGGGTGAAGGGATATATATATATATATACATAGTTATGAGCTATTAACCACTCTTATTCACCGTCAT